CACCCCGATGTACATCCCGATGTACTCATAGCAAAACCGAGTAGCAATAGTTTCTCCTATGAAAAAAAGCAAGTGCAAGGAACGAGTCGACAAGGCAATCAAATTGGGACAATGAGGAGTTCTTTTGATAGATCAAAATCCGGTAGAAGGTCATCCAACGTCGAGTAAATTTTATTTTAACCAGTCAACTTTTGTGCTACAAACACATTACTAAAAGTTTAATTCCATTTCAATTTGGATTTTGAAAGTCTTTGTGATGTAAATAATTCTTGATTGGTAGAGATTAAATTAGATTTTGATAAAAGTTGATTGAATTTGTGGTTGAAAAGTTGTGAGTCCTATAAAATGTGTGGTTAAATTTAATTGTTGATTTTGATTTAAATTTTAATCAGATTTTTTAGCGGTACCAAACGTGAGTATAGTTTGGTTTTGTTTGAAACTTAGTTGAAAATTAACCAAAAATTGTCATGCTCGTACTCAGGGGTGGAGCCAACATCCGACGAGCCATGTCAATTGTCCGTGCTGGCTCCGCCAGAATATTTTTTTTCATATATTAGGCAGTTGTGCGCTCGTTTGGATTCATCCTAGTTCAATCAAATTCCTAAATCCGCCATAGATTGTACTGTGTTCATCCCTACCAAAATTTATAATTTCGGGACCTTGTTTCTAGAAAAAAAAAAAGAATAGGGGTGATATTGTAACTACTCACATAAGTCGAGGGCAATTAAGATTTCCCATTTAGTTTAACAAACCAACTTAATTAGTTATTATTAATAGAAAAAAATTTGCACTATTTGTTCACAACATATAGATATAGTGCTTCAGTACTCCCTTTTTCTTTAAACAGTTTCCAATAATAAAAAATTTCTAAACTTGCAAGAAATTGTCGTGTGAGTATCTCCAAGTTCATAATAGTTACTAGGCGAGTTTTTTTAACTTTGATTGGTGTCGAGAAATTTGAACTATGACAAGTTTTCTTGGTAGTGACTAACAATTTAACAAATATTGAAATGTCGCAAATTTGCCGGGTTAACAATAATTAATGCGACACTAACTTGGTTCTTCTAAAGCTTGCACACCAACTTAATTCTAGAACAATACGTTAAGGACCAACACTGCAATTTCTAATCTGAATAAAATTCTTGTTTTCACTTTGCATCAATGATCAATCCAAGTGTCGTCTCATTTAGGGGAAAAAAATCGCCATACGGTTTCTCATTCTTGATACCGTAGTTCTCACTGGTCTCAAAACCATGGCCTCCTTATCCGGGCCCACCAGCTCCTTCCTACCGTCGCTCAACCGGCGGCGTAACTTTGAGACCTCCCGAAACAGACCCATATCGGCCTACCGATCCGACCCACAGCCTTCAAATGACCAAAGAAACAACCAAAATACACTCAATGTAACAGAACGCAAGTCAAGAAAATTTGACGGGGCCAAGCTGAAGGAGAGAGAAGCAAGGGAGAGAAAAGAGGAAATAAACAGAAAAATAGCTTCCCAAAAGGCCATTTCCATAATTTTACGAAGGGAGGCCACCAAAGCTGTCATTGAAAAGAAGAAGGGTAATGCCAAGAAGCTGCTGCCCAGAACGGTGCTTGAGGCCCTTCACGAGCGCATTACCGCCTTACGCTGGGAGTCTGCTCTCAAGGTCTGTCGACTGATTTAGGAGTTACCTGTTCCTGAATTTTAATTTGTTTTTAATGACCGGATTACCAGGCTAATACGAAAAAAAAAAAAA